CTGTTTTTTATTTTTTCACTAGAGAGTAATTTAGAAGCTTTCCAGCAATATTTGCTAGTAATTTATCAGTTAAATAATACTGTATAGTTATTTGTACATTGTTATATACAGTTATAGATAAACTTAAAACTTTTACAAACACTCCAGCATTTATTTCACGGTAATGTTTAGAACTTTAGTATATTCGTCTATTGTAATAATTATAAAAAAAAAAAATCATATAAAACTGTTTATTTTGTTAGAGAAAGTATACTATTTTGAAACATATATTATTATGCCGGTTTGCCCACATGACCATATTATATTATGTTATATACCTACGTATAGATAATATATGTTTAACTGTTTAGATATGCTTTAATAAGAAGGTACCTATATACATTTATGTTATTTTCATGTAGGTATTGATTAAAATAACTGTCAAAAACATTTACATTTCTGCATTTTTACTTAAACTATATACCTACAATCTCAATTTGTTTATGAAACTCTATATCGTATAGGTTATTACTTATCACTTTTGTATTGTAGATAAACATTGAACTTTCAATATATCAATGTAGGTATAGTACATATAATTATATTATATTTTAGATACCGAACAATTGAGATTTAAATATAGAAAGCTTAAGTTTTGTACATTTTATACTTACTACACATAGTACATTAAATAAAACAATAATATTTATTAAATTAAATGCATTTTATAAAATACGAGTATATATAATAATTGTATTGTAATTAATTATAGTTTCAAATAAACTAATAAATACTAATAAATTCATAAATTTAACACTTTATGGTATTATTGGTAGTGACTGCTGTTTTTCGGGACAGAATTAACAAATCTTGTATCTTGTGACATCGCTTCTTAAGTGATAGCAATCTTAACATTTCAGAAACTTATGATTATGTACCTATAATATATAGTGCCTACATATTACACATAATAATAAGTGGATAAAACAGTTTTGAGGATATACTGCAGCTGTTCTATTTGTTATGTTACCTATAATGTTATTAATTTAATTATATTAGTATTGTTGATGAAAAGCAAATATAAGTACATATAATCTTTTTTAATTGTAAAATTGTTAAATTTTTTTATGGAATATAAGAAATTTGTATTACTGTGTATAACGTTTTACAAAACCAAAACCGTTGTACAAAAGTCTGATTACATATACTTAGTCCTATGATAGRTTTTAGATTCAAAACTATTCTAATAATTAATAAATTTAAATTTAAATATAGATACATACTATATAATATTTTATATTATAATACTGTGCGTACGTATGCGTGTGTTTATATAATAACTTATACGTGCATTCAATTATCATTGTACACCGACAAGACATTATTAATAGAACCTCTTGGGGTCCTCGAAAACGACGACAATGTCGCTGCGATTTCCCCGGTACAATTTATATATAATATGACATACACATAACGCACATTCACATACACAACACACCCACACACACGCATTAAATACCATCAATCCTATATTAATATAGTATATATAGGTAGCTACTAGCTACTAAATAGCCTAATAGTACCTATACTATATATTTGCTAGTGATGCAGTGTATATACCCAATAAATGTATCATAATATATTATTTGTTTATCACTCAACGTATCAGCGCGAGTTTTGTGATGCGAAAATATCAATAAAAATTTGATAAAATGTTTATAATGTAGCTATTTGAATTTTCTCTGGTGGGGGGTCCCTCCGCATCGGTAAAGGGGACGTCCATCGGCGGAGCCTTTTCTCGCGCACGCCCGTTGAGTATATCAAWAGGACCACCCGCGTATACGATTCGTGTCCGGAAAAATAATTTTACCACCTCAGCGATTTTATTATGTATACCACCCCCAAGGCCTATATAGATTACGTATGACTCCCAGCAGTATTAAAATATCCCTCTTACAACTGTTACCTGTTGTAAAGTTTAAAGACTGAAATATGCTGAACGTGTGAATACGATAGTTATATGGTATGATTTTAGTGAATAATATACCCGTTCATATTACTAGTCGAATATTTAAATRTTTTATTTATTTATTTAACATAACGTTTGGTGGCTGCTGTGAATCTGTGATACTTATACTTCTGCATGATATAGAGCCCATAATTATTAAATATGAAGATGTATAATAGTTGGCACAAACTATAGGATGTGATGTTGTCTATACTATATTATATATATTATGTAGGTATAAAACTATTCTAAAACCATTTTTACATTTGTATTACGTTTTACGCACACTATAAAAATGCATGCAGTTAAATCCTTTGTAAGTGTATATTAAGTAGGTTTATGGTTTATCACATTTATTTCTTTAGTCCTTTCTAAGTATATCATCATATATTTTTAAATCCAATGCATTTTTGTTTAGAAAATAGATAGACTACTCAAATAACTTTTTTTTAAAGTGCGATACTATATAAATAAAATCATACTGAAATTTATTTATAGTTTAATAGTTTTACTTAAAGTTTATAATTTATACGCACTAAAATCACTTATAGGTACCACATACTGCACTTATCATTTAATATATAAATGTTTAAATTTAAGCAAATTTATTGAAAGAAATTATACCTATTCAGTTATGTAATTCCAAAACTGAATAGGTACACTTCACTAAATTACATATTTTGAATTTATCTACTAATTAATATATTTAATTTATAAATTAACAATGTTAAGATAATAGTTTAGTTTTTATAATAAATTAACTAAATCATTTTATTTCAAGTTAAGAAAATTTAGCGATATCTCGAAACTATAATATATAACTGTATATAAGTTTAACTATCAGTAAATCGGTTTATTGATAAATTATAACATCCGAGGATTGGYGAGTATAAAAGTTATCTGAGAGGGATTTCTGATACTGATATCTATTGGCTATGTTTCAGAACTCCGTATAGTATTATTATTATTATTATGGTAGGTGGTTTTGTTTATAATTTATTAAATTATACAAATAAGTCTTATAAATCTGTTAGAAAGATTAAACACACTTGTGAGTTATAGTAAACATTTTAAATTTATATAATGTATGATTTTAAATTTATGTATTACATTAATGTTTTGTTGTGTACATCTTACATGTTCTATGTAAGTTATTTTAATAACATTATTATCGATTATTGTTTTAGAATATCATAATACGTATAACACTATTGTTTTTCCCATTTGGAATATTAAATAAATCTCTCAATGTATTGACTTTTAAGTTTTAAGGCCCCAATATCCCAATATAATATGTCAATGCATAATATCTAATCTATAGATGTATGGGTAACTCTTATGTCTAAAATTCTTTCATAAATTGTTTAACTAGAATACAAAACATTAACACATAATAAGTCATATAAATAATTATAATACTTTTATGAATTACTGATTTAAATATTATATTTAATATTAGAATCTCATAATACGTAAGGCGTTAACTGATCTTTGTTCTCTTCAATAGTTTCTATACGTCACAAGTAAATTCGAAATATGATTCCTAGTTTTGCTCATCAGGAAAATTAATTTGAAAAACAAACTCCAGTCATTAAATATGAACAAATTCGTATTAATAATAAAAGGATTGAAATATTTAAAAATTATATCAATGATGCAATATTATATTTTTACTTTTTTAATATACAATTTCAAACACACGCTTTTACAGTTTTACCTAAATAAGTAATAACCATAGGTTATTTTAGGTTAGATAGGTTTGACTTTTAGGATAGTATTACTAAATACAAATTATTCAACTTTAAGCTCAAAGTACCTTCTAATCTTTTTTTAAATTAGTTTCTGTAAATAATAATGCATTTATACATATATATTATACCTACTTATATATACATTTATAAGCTTTAATAAAGTAAATTTTTTTTAAATCAACCGCCATATAGATTTATAATAATATTATAGGTAGTCTGGATTTTTTGTTTCTATTTATTATTTTCAACATTAGATATAATAATTATTAACTAATATTGGTGATAGTCATTATATTCATATTATTTAATATACAATATGAACCTATTATGTAAGCATAATATAAATATATATATATATATAATATGCCTTGCATTTTACACATTTAAAATATATTCTAAGAAAAATGCATTGTTTGTAGGTAACCTATATTATAATGTTTCGAAAATGTATAATTATAGATACTAGTGTATACGACGATAGTATAACTAGATAGGTCCTAAATATATTTATTATAGCGATAGTTTTAGAAATAATAATAGGTACCTAGGTACTTATGATATCTTAACATATTCAAAATTGTAAATATTATATTACCATTATAAATCATCTCATATGTTATCATGACGTAATACCTACATTATAAATATTGCCTAAATTGATCGATAATCATAATTAGCGATTGATAACTGACTTTTTTACACTGATAAGTGTAAAAAAACTTTTTCATGTATAATAAACAACAAATTTAGATACTAGATTGTACATAAATAATCCATATTGGCATATTCACTGGAAACATTGTTAAAAAAACCCCCAAACTGACGAAATCCCGGAAGAACTGACGCAGTAGCCGTTTGCCACTAGTTTTATATAGTACCTGTCCGACGTACCGCCAATAAGACGGATACACCGAACGGGCTCGCGTGAGATCGTCAGTCATCGCCGTCACCYCGTCACCGCGTCACCACGCGTCATTGTCATCGACAACGACGACAACGCCGCCGCTGCCGCTACTTCGGTCGTAACCACAGCCGCCACCGCGTAACCGCCTCCGGACGTTTATCGCACGCCCAACATGATTGGCCGACGGACGGACACGGGGGCGTGGCTTGGAACGTGATTGATTTTTTTTCTCTTTATTTTTCGCGTTCTCCTCGCTCTGTTGCACTTGCACACACGGCACCACATGGCCCGCTGTCTCCGTTCCGCAGCGATTCGCCTTTTTCCGCGTCTCTTTTCTTCTTATTATTTTTTCTCTCATTATCATCGTCAGATTATTRTTTTCTTTATTATTATCACCGTAACTATATTATTTTCTCTTTCACATAATATGTATATAATGATAATATCATAGTCTTGGCCGTCCGGGTTGTATGCGTGTGTGTACGAGTGCGGTTATTAACATTACATGTTTTATTATTATACCGCAGTAGTCCGTCGGGTATGTGGTAGGTAGGTATGCCTAACTTTATGTTATACGTTCTAAAATATTCGTGCCGGTAGCTGCTGCTGCTATATACAATAATCGGATAATATACGATTTGTATACTCGTCGAGGCGCGGGCGCGCGCACGCGTGTTTGGTGTCGAAGTGTTGCGGGTGAGTTATTTTCGTACGGCCGCGCGAAACTCGCCACTGATTGATTGAAATACAGAAAATATTGCATTATTTTATTCTCATTACTCATTACATTTAACGTCATCGCGTTACTTCTACACCGCATACTACCGTTTGGATATTAGGTAGCTACCTACTATTTTATATTGTGTTGTAGTACGTCGAAAAAATTACTAACCTAATTTTCGTTACGTCAGTTTTTTACGCGAAACGATTCAGTCGATATTTTAAGATCCGTATGATTGTTTATACCTCATACCCATCAAAATCAAAAATATGTACCAGTGCGGTACTTATCCGACTGCACTCGGATATCACCACCAATCGTCCAGCTGGCCATCGCAGTGTTACTCACCACACAAGGTAATCAATAATAATGATATAATACAAAAAACAATTTTAACGTTTATTTTTACACATAATAATAGATACTTACCTAGGTACTAAAATTTTATTTTTACTTCTGATCGAAATTCTGAAGCACGCCTTAATATTAATGTACCCTTCTAAATAATAATTTATGTGTTGCCTCGCCAGTAGATATATCCTCCCATTTAATTGTTATAAATGTGTTTGATTTAGTCAATAATCATGTATCTTGTATACCTAAGTATAAGTTCTACTGGATGTCGTAATCTAAATTATATTGTTTAGGTATACCTACCTCTGTATGGTTATAAAATATATATTATATTATATCAATATACAATGTATGTTTCAAAGTAGGTATTCTCAAATGAGAAGAGTATAACAATAATTCAGGCATAATGTAAATATACGAGTACCCTACTTAACGAAATGAAATATACATTAATACATTATGTACTAATTGAATATATTTATGTATATTATACAATTTATAGTAATCAGTTTCACATATTATATACTTACTTTATATTATTATGTCATCAGAAGAGATCATTTTACGATATTATACTAATAGATGTACCTATTATTATATAGTATAATATGCATGTTGATCGTTCCAAAAATAAATTGTTCAACAMTATAATATACAAGTGTACATACCTTGTACCTATATAAATCTTAGTGATAATTTCTAAATTGTCATAAAATGTACATATAAAATATATAATAATATAGTATAATAGGTACCTATCATATAATATAATAATATACAACGATTATAGTTCAACGACTAGTTCTGTACAACTATAGACTAAAATATTGGAATTTAAAAATTAAAAATATAGAAAACTATATATTTAGATTCCTACGTATTTCGTAATATAGACCTGGGAACCGATGTGTTAAAATTAATGCTACATCCTTGGCTGGGATACCTGTAAAAATTTTGAATAATATCGTTTTGAATAAACAATTTTTTGAATCTTTATTTTTTGGAAGCATCATTAATTGGAAACGATAAACATGGCTGGATAATAAATTAGAATCAACCATTCTGGAACTGATAAGCATGGCACTGATATAATTTGGAATCTATAAACTTTATATTTTCTTTACTTGGAAACGACAAATTGGGACTATACAATTATAATGTATATTCAAGGTTTATACATTCTAAATCGATTGATTCCAAATTATTAAGATTCAAAAATAAATAGTTTCTAAAAACGTCTTTTCCGAAATTGTAGTTTCAAATATTTGAAATTCAAAGAATTTATGGYACCCCCTTGGCTGTAGATATTTTGATTCAAGTAAAACATGTATAATATTCTAAATTTTAATTATTTAACATACCATTCGTTCATTATGTTCATTCGTTATTAATGGTATTATTCATAAAAATGTAATCTTTTTTTTTTATTAAGTATGAGGTACAAAAACAAATCTATAGCCTTCTATATCTACTATCTACATCAGAATTTTTTTTGTTTCAATTTGTATTGCAAATGCTTTATACAAAATATTAATTACATTTTTAAAATTTTTATATTAGGAAAGTAGATATGTAAAAAGTTTGTTCAAGTAAATTACTTATATAAATAGATCTACCATAACACAAACACTGGGCTATCATATCTTATTTACAGTATGTACATTATTATGTTACCTATATTATATATTTTGTTATTCTTAATTATATTGTTTTATAACTTCGTACATGGCTATATTATATTATAATATAGGTAAGTACTGAGATACCTATAAACCATTATGTTATGATACTTTAGAATCTTCATCTAAAATTAAGTTTAATTGATCAATCAAATAAAAATAACTATTTTTGTTATATATGTTAATTTCTCCAAAATAAAATCAATAAATTACTTTAAAATAGTTTTTTTTTTTTTTTTTATTAAGCTTATACAATTTAATTCAAATAAGTAATATATTAGTTTAATTAATATAATAGTATGAAAATAATAATTATTTGGCTATCGCTTGTATTTTTTAATTGTATTTCATTKCTTAAAATTTACAAATGTAATTACAACATAATAAAAAAGCGGGTAAGTGGGATGTCGCTCTGCTGTACATTAGGGGGTAGGGTTGAATCTCTGACTAGGGTAGGTTAAATTTGAATGCAATGATAGGTATCATTGTATACGAAAAACGATTCTGAACGGAGATGATTTGTAATAGTCTAGGATATATTATATTTAAATATTGTCATACATTATATTTTGAAACAAATATTTTATTTTTCAATTAGGACGCATTTTGCATAAGGCATGGTTAATCAGTTTTTCCAAAAACATTGCATGTAGTTATAGGTAATTCATAATACCTTATATTATCATAGATATATATATATACCTGGTTTGAGGATAAATCGTTATCGTTGGGTACGCAATTTCACAAACATTTAAAACTCAAAGGCTCAAAACATTTTTCCCATAATGACGCTTCAAAATTTCTCTATAGCTATTTGAAGCAAAACTTATGGAAAACTTAATGTTGAACCTTAGATATAAATACAAACAATTTTATGAATTTTGAACTACAAAATAATTTGCAAATATTCTTGGTTTTGACGAATTGTTGTCAATATTTTAACTTCAAATGCTAATAAAAAAAAATTGTGCCTATGCATTCTTATAATTACTATAAGAATATATAATATATTATAATAATCACTATAAGAATAACTTATGTGGAACTTTGTATTCAATTTTCAAGTATTTTGATTGGGCCAAAGAAATAGAAAGTATTATTATTATTATTATTTATTTGCGTAAAAATTCCCGTTTTTCTGTAATTTATTTTTGTTTTTCTCGATTTTTTTGAAAACTGTTGGAAAATTTTTATTTTTGACCTCTATAATGCACCAAGGATATTCACTTTTACATCGGAAACCACCACCAAAATTTGAAATTGAAGCATTATTTCGACTAATTATGCTGTACACAGACACATAAAAAAAACACACATCATTGTAAAATCAATGCATTCATCATTTCGTTCAGAACCTAAAAATATAAGGTTAATTAATTTAAAAAACAATAGGTACCTATATTTAACAATAATGATAAATATAGGTTATATGAATAAAAACTATAAATATAATACAAATATGTGTGAATAGATGATACAATTATTCATTAATATAATTTATATATATATATATATATATATACCGTGATACCTGTATATCAAAGAATTAAATACAATATTATATAAATATTTATAAATTATAAATTCCCGTATGTGATCAAATTCTTTGACGTTTTCATGATTGTTGTGTTACTGTTAATATCATTTTATTGTTTCCTTTTTTCATTCACGATAATCGTGTGAATTATAATTAGGTACGTTATTACAGACTTCAAGAAATTCAATGAGTCATGAGAATATATTAATAACCACATAAGTTATATGATCTATGTTCATTCGTTCATTGTGTTCTTTACTAAAACCGTGTTCGACCATATTTGTAAAATAGAATTATTTTTTTTTTATTGACATATTATCACTGAAAAAATATCATATATAAAAGGTAACTTAAAATAATATATAAGAAGACATTACACGGACATTTGTTGACTCCGTCTAACTAGTGAGTAACATACCAAATTGTATACGCTCGGAAGATCACAATTTAGATTTGTTAGTTTAAAAAATATAGTGAATTTTAAGTTGTAAGTACAAACAATTAAAATTTTTACAATACTCATAACTCACTTGAAAATTACAATATAATAAGTTTACGAGATTTCCTAGATTATAATCTTAGATTTAAATTTTATTAGAAGTAAATTTACTCTCATTTTTAACTAACGGAGTTAAATGTAATCTGCTAAGCTTAAAATTTGTTACGTTACGCACATGTAAGAAAAAGATAACAAGCGTCCGTGTAACGTCCTTTTTACAAATATGTAATACATATCAAAAATATAATACATAATTATAATATATTTTATAATTATTGGAATCAATGTAATTAAAAATGTGAGTTTAGTCGATATATTATCATCTGTTTTTTTTTCCAAAGTCGATAACATTTTTATAAATTACTAAAAATTATTTTAAAATAGTGTAATATAATATTTTATATTTTTATATAAATGTATATTACTTTTTTTGAGATAAGTTGAGTTAAGTTGTTAAGTTGTAAAAAAATGTCACAATTATGTAATTATCGTCTACAATGTAGACTTTACTTATACTTCACAAGATGTTATGCTAACAGAAATTTTGGTTTTTGGCAAAAGCTGTTAATGAACTATAGACAGTAGACGATGATTTTGGCATAAAAATTGTGTCGGTTAAGGTTAAGGTCGAAAAATCAGGTTTAAGTTGGAAAATAAATTTAACTTCGAATTTCTTTTCATTCTTGGACAATGCAGTTTTGTTTGATTTAATGGATACCCAATATTTCTCGTGCACAGCTGTAATATACAACATGTAGGAAGTTAAAAAATATCTGGTTCAGTCACGTGTTTCCCCCGTCAGTCGAGTCTCACACCACGTTTTCAATGTACTTGTGAGTATATAAAACCCTCCACGATATGACCTTGACCCGGAATAGTGGTTTGCAAAGTACTATTTGTACGCAGTTGATTGGAACGGTTTCAAAAACGAAAAAAGGGGTCGAATAATACCTACTGCACGGTTACGTGCGTTTGAAATGTATAGTGGTCGAAAACTAGGRCGGGCGGTATCTCTTATAGCATTATGACATATCATTAAACTCATATACGAAATCAGTCCACATTATAGACCACATTTCGCATCATTATTTTAAATATAAATCATGTGCATTGTGTATTGCTTTTCAAGGAAAAATGTTAAGTGCTTATTTATTATTACTGTAGGTAGTTACAAGTTTTTTTTTTTTTAATTTCAAAATAAATTTCAATAAATGATTGTTAAAAGCTTACTAGGTATAGAAAACGTATTTATGTTGTATTTTTATTGTTTATATAATACAAATAATG